GTAGCGGCTATCCTTTCTGAATTAAATAAACCATGCGTAAAGGTTATAGTGTGACTAACTACCAAAACATAGGAAAACTATAATATTTTGGCTAAAAATACACAAAGAGCATTAACAATGGCCAAGAAAAACAAAATTCCAATCACAAATAATCCTTACTTGGCTAATATCCGATCCAGCAATTCGCCACCCTCACATAACCTAAAAGGAGATGGTATAACAAATCACATTCCCGAAAATAATGAATTTTTTGGTGAAATTCATTAGAACAGGAAGGGTGGATTAGAAAGGAATCATAAAGTGCAGTGTCAAAAGCTTATCCACACAAAATCTTTTTGATCCTCCAAAAAAAATGAAAAAAACACAAAATCTTTTTGTGCAGATATATAACAATCAGTCCCCATAAAGAAAATGGATTTGAAGCAATCAAGTAATCAGCATGAATCAATGAACTGTCAGAAAATGAAACTCAGTAAGAACCAAAACCTACTCCATAACTATATATACATAATTTTCATCCTCAAATGCATTGTAGAACTGAACAACATTCTCATGGCCTGTAAGAGCTTGCAAAATCTTGACCTCTCGCTTGACATCTTCAACGGCAATAGGTAGTACCATCTGCCACCAAAAATAATGGATTTTCACGAAACATTGCCAAAATATATATTAAGGGAGGAAATAGCGAAAAACCATATCTTTATAGAATATTTTGTTCCTTCTCTAAACAATGCAAGTGAGGATTTAATATTTATACAGAACAAAGATATGACTGATAAAATCAAACAAATGTTCCAGTTTTCTTTGTTTTTCTTTTTTTTTTTTCTTAAAAATAAAAAGCCTTCAGCTCAGATCGGCATCACGTTCGGTATGATAACTAATGATTAACCCGAGGACTTGAGATTGAAGTTATCCCTTGCTCATCTATGGCGTTGAGTATCTATTTGAAGCCCTTCAAAGCCTCCCCAGCTCCTCTCACCCCACGATCCTTTTATTATTTTTCCACTGGTTCAAAGCAGTGTATGTTTGGGAATAACTAATTATTATATGCTATATTATGAGGTTTTCAGGTGGTAAATCCTTGAAATTAAGTTAATTTCATCCGTTAAAATGTCAACTCAGTGAAGGAAAATTAGATCATAGATATTCAAAGTAGCTTGTTATAATCAAATTCCCAAAAATAACAAGGAAAATTAAGTAATTGAAACCTACTAAGAGCAAATTAATTCTCCAGTCATAGGAAAAAGAGAAAACAAGCTCAAGAACTAGACTGATCTTCGAGGCAGTATAAGTTACCCAATTAGGAAAAAAAAAAGGAATCTGATCGTAAATCTTTTTGGATCAAATTCAATCCAACATTATCAGAAAAATTAGCTGACAATCAGAACCTTCATTAGCAAAAGAAAAACGGGAAAGAAAATTATCCAACAGAAATTTCTATATAAATCTCATAAACCCGGAAGCAATTCCGCAACAAATGAAACACAGGAGAATGAATTTCGCGAGCCCCATTATACCCAGATTCATTAAAACGAAATGAGGCCATAAAAGCCACAAACCCGCGAAAAATTGACCACCAAGCATGAAATCAAACAGGCAAAATATAGAAGAAAATACCTTGCTCTTCTCAATTCTCTTAACCGCAACTCGATCCCCATTGACCTTATCCGTGGCAACATACGTGTAGCCGAATTGCCCATGTCCCAACAATTTACCGATGGCGTATCGCTTATCGAAATCCTTAGCGTACCCAAAATCGGTTCGCTTCCCACACGGGATTACCCCTCCCGGTCGTCTTGAACCTGTCTTCTCTTTAGCCTTCAGCTGCTGGGAATTCCTCTGGTTCTGGGTCTTATTGGCATGATGATGATGATTCTGTGATCCCTGTTCTTTTTGGTTCGTAGTCGTAGTCGTCGTCGTCGTCGCCGTCGCCGCCGCCGTCGTCGATTGTGGCTTGGTGGCACGCTTGCGGTTGTGATGAACGTTGGTGGTGGTGGTGGCGGTGTTGTTGCTGTTGGCGCCACTAACTTTGGTGGTGGAGAGACAGGTCCCCATGACGGTCAAGGTTTCTTTAGAGGTTTTTAGGAAAGAAAACCATGAGAGGATAGGAAGAAATAGTTACGGAGACAGATATAGAAAGACAGAGAAATAAATGATTGAGAATGAGGAAGAGAATGAGGAAGAGGAAGGGAAGGAGCAGAGAGGAGGAAGACGGGAAGAAACGGAGGTGGTGGTGGTCAAAAGAGACTTTTTGGAAATTAGAAGAAAGAAAATCGAAGACAGTTTTTCTCAATAAAATAAAATAAAAAATAACGACAGACAGAGAACACAAGTTTTCCTCGTTGCTTAATTTTATCGGATAATAAAAAAAAAATATATATATATATATATTTATTCTTCCTTTTCTTTTTTCTTTTGTTTTTTTATTTTTTTTGCCATGAAGAGTTGAATTTTCTTAAAAACGTTCATTACTTTTTTTTTTTATTTTCTTAAATAATAATATCACGAAAATAATAATAAAATATAAATATCTCGTATTTTCACAACATTTTATTTGAACGACTAAATATAAAACTCTAAACAATATATATATATATATATATATTTCAAATAATTGTGCTCTTTTGATATACATAGATACTTTAAATTCCTCTTAATTTTTTGACATGCACGTTTACAAATAAACAAAAAATCAATAACTAAAATATATATTACATCTTTTGACATGCACCATAATAATATTATGAAATTATTCTTGACAAATATATATGGTGAAAATTGAACAGATCATATATATATATATATATCCATATAATACATACATTACAATGGATCAATTTTTGCTGCCTTCTATAGATCTCTTCTTTGTTTCCTTTTCCATCCACAACTAGCAAGCCTCCCGTTCATTCCATCAAATACTTAAATCACCAAATCTAAGTTTCCACAATTTTATTTTTTATTTTCGTTTTTATTATCGTGAAACATATATATATATATATATATATATATATAACATATCCTTCTATTACGTACACACTTCATGGTACAAAATTTATTAATTAAGCTTGAGAAGTTGAAATTCAAGTTAATTACCAGTTGCATTTGACCATTATCCAGCTAGATAGAAAATACTGGATAATTATGAGAAAAATAATTAATGCACATATATATATACGCACGTATATCTCTAAAATATTAAAATATTAATTTATAAAAATGTTTAAGAGTTATCGATAATATTAATTAATTAATTATAATACATTTGCATGGTAAATATAAATCTATATATACATGCATACAAAAAAAAATTATTGATGGTACTAAAAGTCTAAATTTGTAATTGTGATAATATAATAAAATATGTGTGTATATACCCACTTGAGAGCACAAATATACCAATCACATACATATACATGCATAAATAGATTTATATGAGCGAAGACTTTGACTTGACTCGATAGTGCCAAGCTAGATATAATAATAATTACTTAAACTTAAATCATAATCAACCTCTCTAGGTGTTTTTATTTATTTTTGTAGGCTACAAAATTTTAATTCACATCAACACTAGAACGAGACAGTCTCACCTACTCCCCCAATATATTTGTGCGTGTGCGTTTGTATATATAAATATATGTATATGTATATGTTATCTCTAAGTGTGTACGCACACACCATATATACATAATATAATGATCATGATTTTATTTAAGGCCACGTTTTAATTTAATGACACCAAAATCTTAAAAAATAACCGATGGTTGAAATATTTTTTATAATTTTTTTAATATTAAAATCTTAATTATTAAAGATATTAATAATTATAATAATATATATTAAAAATTTAATATAAAATAAATTATAATGAATGTGTTAAATATAAATATAAGATTTCAAATAAAAGAATTTTATATCACATTTTAATACTAATTAGCAAAAGTAGTGTCTCATTGCATAACATAATTCAAAGCGTATTTTTAAATTTTATATTTACAGAGTTTTAAAATAATTGTATTAAATTAAAAATTGTAAAAAATTATTTATATAATATACTTTCGCTTCAGTCTTTTATTACGACCTCGAAAGCCAGCATATTGTAATTATAAGAGTGAAAGAAAGCTCTTTATTTATATTTCTATATTGAAAATTTTGGAATATATAAAGCGTCAGAAAAAAAAGAAAAAAGAAATATGAACTGTCTTCTCCCTCCCAAAGTCATCATTGCTCTGGCGATATCTAACAGAGCCTGGTACGAAATCCCCTTACTTTTCTTGTCCGCCAAGAAAAAGTTCTTATTCCTCTTTTTTGTTTATGTAGGAACCTCGACGAGCACAGAGTGAGATGGCGACAGACGACTCCACGTTTTTGAAGATACGCGACGCAGCTACTGCAATAGACGAGAAAGTGAACCTCGTCGGTGTTATTATCGAGTTCGGTTTCCCTAGGAAACCAACGGCACTGGTAAAAACCCTAGAAATCTATGCTCGAAAGTTCTAGGAAGTAGAAGACAGCGCATTGACGGAGCTTTTGGATTTTTTTGTTTAGAAAAAAAAAATTGAAGTGTTTTCTCCTCGTTGAACAATCTGATTTCAGCTGTATACTTCATTTTCATGAACAACTGTTTCATTGCATTACCAGTGGCTCTTTATTGACTCATGGAATGACCAATCGTACTAACTTGTCTTGTTTAGTGTAGCTTCTTGACTTCTTAAGTTCTAAGTTAGTTTGCATTGTAATAATGGTGTCTGTCTTCTAACATTAGATGGTTCCACGGGGGGACTTTTAGGAAGCATTTTGCTGATATCTCCAATTCGCATTTGGCATCCATATCTGCATTAAACATGATGAGGTACTAGGTGATTTAGCCCTGGAAACCTTTTCTTAAAAACTCCGGCCTACCTCCATTAATTATAAGTGAGGATGAATGTGATTTTCCTCTTTTTTATTTTTCTTTTTCCAGCGTACCTCTAGTAAATTATAAGTTGGGGATGAATGTGATTTTCTTTCTTTTGAAATTTTCTTTTTATCCAATGTTTGTACATTGAAAGACTTTTGAATTAGGTATAACCCCGTAAAACTCTTAATAAGAGGACTTCCTTGATCGTCAATGATCGGTCTTGCAAATTTTTTGTCACATTATTCCATCCTGAGGTGATATCATGGTCAGCAATTTCTGGCGAATTGCAATCTGCTTGAATCTAGATGCAAATACTTTTTATAGCAGTTATTAAAGTAAAATATGAAGTGCATCTTTCTACCATGAAAAGAAGATGTGTGGCTCTGAAACTTCCTGTACCATAAGGATTTCTAGTCTGAGGCATTGAAATGGAGATTCTCAAAATCACGTGGATCTGGGGTCAATATATACAAAATTAGAACATCTCTAGAACATAAATTAATATAAAAACCCCATTAGATTTGTATGTAAAAAGGTCATTGTGTTTTAATCGGTAAAGCCAGGTTAAATTGTATAATAATCCCAATAGTTTGATCTGCCAAGTCAGACAATAGAAGCTTGTTGGTTGAACAGTGGAGTTTGTAATGGTCATTAAATTACAGGGATTCCATGATCAAAGGGCTATTATCGAGGAAGAATAATGATGTAGACTTTTCATTACTATGGACCAACAGTGAAAGAACGATTTTCTTTTCACGAATATGTTGGTTGTAACTAGGTTTGTTCTTATAACAAATTTTCTTTGTGTGTTTTGAAGGTAAAAAAATATATTGCCTCTTTCCGCAAGTTCTTTGAGGGGAAAAGCACATATTTCCTTAGAGTATAATCACTGTTGCAAGCAAGTTGTATCATATTTAATCAAAATATGATTTGATGACATATGGTCAAGCTAAAGTTTATGTTCATGCAGATGAAAACATTCAACCAGGAGCCATATGCCATTTTTAGTAAGAAGTTCTCCTCCTTTGCTCTATACAAGGGAAATCGTAATAGAAATTTCAATCCATACCAACATTCTTTAGGATTTTGCCACAGGGAACAAGACAAAGATCTTATAGCAGGCCTGAGAGATTGGTTCGTAGGTTTGAAATTTGAGGAAGGTATGATTCAGAATTCATCAAAGTTAAGCTGTATTTTCATGTCTTAATTATATTAATGTGTTTTCCCATAGATAATGGGTAAAATTGGATGCTTGTAATGATAAGGAAAAAGTGTTATTCTTTTTCTAACTTCCTTTAAGAGGGGGTTGCTATTTTTTTTAAAAAAGATATAATTTGAGGCACTGAAGGAGCGCAACCGAAAACAAAAGATTTACAAAAATCTACTTAAGTCAAAGTATCAATAGGGTTCCATAAATCTCCATCATATAGAATGGCATTCGCTGTCAACAAAATATTCAGGGCATGGAAACAACGATCTGTAGTCGTAACAAAAGGGGATTGAATGCCCTAAAAAGTTATTGTTTCTTTGTTAGAAAACAACCCTAATTACGACAAAGGCATGATCTTCAATAATTTCCCTTGCTCAACTGACCCGTACACTACCTAAGTCAAATCTAGAGGACGAGCACCTAATACCACAGCCTTCTAGTCTCTGAACACGATGGACTGAATTGGGGGATTCTTGCTTTTGCAAACACGTATAGTAGCCATTGATTATGATCTTACCTCCCTTCCTCAATTTACCAAGGTGAAAACTCTCCCCTAAGCCTCTTCCCTTTTTTTTTTCCCAGAAAAAGGTAATGTGAGGTGAGGCTTAGCTTTTCCAAGTTTGCATTAAGTAAATCTAAAGGCCAAAACAGTGTGGTAGCGTCAGTTATTGAACAAGGAGGGGATTGTTGACTTACAAGTTAAAGCCATCTAAAAGGGTTACTAGAGATATTGGCATTCAGGGATATTACTTTCTTAGGACTCTTATGTTTTATTATCAAGGATGTTACTTGAAAGACTGTTTTTAAATAGGTTTTATAATATTTTATGCATATTGCAGTTAGTTTTTTCTTTTTCCCTTAAAATTTCCGATATATGTTGTGCATAAGCAGGATAATTTGACTAGTAGCACTTCTTTTTTCACATGCCTTGTATATAATAACGGTTTGAGAATTTTTTATGTCATTGTTAGGATCAAATAACTTCTCACTTTTGAGAGATATAAAGGAAGGTGCACGTCTTAATTTAGCTTGTAAGGTAGTTCAATCATATGTTGGTTTCTATATGGAACTAAATTGTTTCTATAGTATTTTCTCTAAACAACTTTCTTTGCATGAGGTCCGCTAAAGCAACTAAATACTAAATACTGACATTTTAAACATTTCTCTCTAATTAAATTAGAAGCGTTTTTCCCCAAATTACTTGATCATATAGTGGATACATGGAATGTTTTTATCTTTTCAGTATTATTTTCTGGTTCTACTGAAATGGTTTTTGATTCAGTGGAGCACTAATCTGTTGCTTTCTAATGGTTCTCCCCATGAAGATTCTTCACACCTGTGAGGTCAGTAGGGATGAGTGGATATTTGTTTGGGACGGAACTGATACTACACCAGCGAATATTCTTAAGAAGTGAGTCTATTGAAAATATTGCTAACATTTTGTAATTATGGGCTAGAGGTTCAGACATTTGAAATTTGTATCAAGTTTATTCCTTGTACAAAAGGAAGATTTTGTTTTCTCACATCTATAAGTGGCTGTTATTCTCTTGATGCCCTGTGAATATATTTTGGTTAATTGTCTTTCAGAAAAAAAAAGAAAAATTGTTGTTTACATGTTGGAGATCTTTTCAGCATTAAACCATTTCATGGGGTTTCATTTATGTAATACCGAAAAGGTTTTCTCACATGGTAAGATGTGCCATGCTTGATATTGCTGTTTAGTTATCTTGTTTTGCTTGGCTAATGTAGTAATGAAAAGGTTTTCTCACATGGTAAGATGTGCATGGTTGATATTGATGTTTAGTTATCTTGTTACGCTCGGCTAATGTTTTCTTGGTGCCTAGAGTTTTGCTATTTGATATATTAACATATATTGTACATCTGTGCATATGTATATGCATATAATTCTGGCTTTGTGGTGGAAACCTTTTGTTACTTATGGTTCACAGTTACTTGGATCCATGTTAGCCTGCTTGAAGTTATTGTTGTTACCTTGTAAAAAAAAACGAAGTTATCTCCATTTTTGGCTTACAGTCAAGTTGCCCCTTTCATGATTCATGCAAGTTTTGTCTAAAGGACTTGTATACACTTTAATGGCAAAAGGATGTATTTACATGACAGTTACATGATCTAGGAGTAACATTTCACTTAATCTGTCAAGTAAAAAATTCCTAGATATTATTTATCACATTTATTTAGTGCCTGTTAATTGATCCATGCTCGATGATTCACGGTTTCACCATTTGAACTAATTAAGATTAACATCAAGGACATCAATGTGTAGTTTTCTAGCCTCTTTGTTGGGTAGGGCAGTCTTCTCAGGACCTGTAAATGGTCCTTTTTTCTGTAGGTATTTGTGGAACTATGATTTTTGCTTCAAGGTAAAAATAGATGGTAGGTATCTTCATCTGCTTTCACCATATGCTCTTTGATTTTGCATCTTTTTTACTGTTTCACCATCTTTTTATGAGCTTTGTTCGTAGCTTGGCAATTTAGTGATAATCTTGTGCTGATAATATTTGCCAAAAAAAATTCTCTCCTTGGTTGTCCAAATTTGACCTTAAGATGAGTCAAGAAGGTGTGCGAGAAATGAGGAATCAATCTGGTAGCCAAGGAATAAAGAGGATATTGCTGTTGTTTCGAATCTGAAGGACATAAAACTGGCAAATTACTGGTGATCTTTGATAGTAAGGGATTTTTCCTGATACTGCGATTATACAAGATCTCTTTGTCTACAGAATTTGCTAAACTGGGTGCGGCCTATTTTATAATTGTGTTAGAAGCTATGTAGGTTGTTTACGTATTTGGTTTTAGTCCTTTAGATTTATGATAATCTCTCAAGTTAGTAAGCAAAAGGTTAAATATCCACAACAGGCTATAAGATGAAAGAGAGAAGCAGCTTCCTTTACACTTGGAGCCCTTTCATCTGTCCGGAGATATATTATGCACGTTTCCTAGAGTGTGAACTGTCTTGATAGTGATTGTAGAGAAAGGAACAGAATTAGTGTATCCTTGACTTCCTGAAAATTAGTGAATGGATGAAATTCATGGATGCATGCTGTGAGGTCAATGCTGGATTATGGTTCCTTGTCTTGAAATCTGATACAAGGCTGCTATATATACCAAAAAGAGAGTCTAGTATCAAATATTAAAAGGTTACTTTCTACTCGCATGTTAATGTACATATTATATCCACTTGTTTTATGTTCTCAGCAGATGTCTGATACCTTGTCATTTCTTTTTCTGTGTCAGTTAGGAAATATAAGGAGCGATTGTCGTTGAAAGGGAGCCGGATACCTGGTGCTTATATTCTCAACCTACAGGTTTTAATTCTGTGATTATATATGGTCACTTATACTCTCTGTTTAAATTTTCTTATGTGATAATTGACTAAATTTTATTTGAATACAATACCTCTGTTTCGGGCCTCAGTTATGAGGTTGTTCTGTTTATGTTGTAGTGCTGTCAGATGTTGATGATGATCCTATACCATTTCTCACATTATTGGATGGGTTCTCACTTATCCAGGAGTATGTTGTCCTTGAGCTTTTTGTTGTACATGGAGAAGAACATTTTTTAAGCAGTTAATAGCTATGTCAATCCTGATTATATTCCACCTTCGTTGAGGTTTGAGAATAGCTTATTATTATTATGATAATGGTTGTGGTGGTGATGATTCTATATTTTCAGTAGATATATTTATTTATTTACATTATTTATACTTCAAATCCAGATACAAATCTGGGAACTTAAAAATTTTTCAACGTTCAAAGTGGAGTATATCCCATGAACATTTTGGCAAGGGAACTAGAAATTAGTTGGAGTGGCTCTGGGTTGATTTGTTGGTGCTTGTGTAGCAGCCCCTTCTCTGTGAGTGAAAATTTGGTGGACTGATGTTGGATGGTGTGATATTTGCAATCTGTCATAATTTTTGAACCAAAAGAACTGGCAACAGTTTTCAATCAGAAACATTAAAAGAAGAAAAAACATTAAAGAACCTTTGGAATATAGGGAGAGGCTTGCAGCCTTATTTGGTTAGCGATGAGGTTGGTTGAAAAACCTAGTTGCAACCTGCAAAGATTAATAGTTTGATGGTGGTGATTCAGCCACCTTGCTGTTAGAGGAGGGTTACAATTCGGAGCTAAGTTGGAGGTTGGGGATTTGTTTCATCTTTGCAATGTGCTGAAGAGACCCTTACCATAAGATCTGTTACTGCTGCAAACAAGGATTTGTGGGCTAAATGACTTTGAAAATTCATGTATTGCAAAAAGTGACTTGGATGGTGATAAGCCCCAAAGGTAAGCAAGAGTGCCACGTAAGAACCCAAAATTTGTGGATTAAGTGGGACCAGAAGCAGGCGAAAGAAAGAGTCAAAACAGAAGCAGTCAACAGGAAAGAATTTGCTCTCAGGATTTTTAGTCGTAAATCTGTTCTTCAGTTAGGATTTCTAGTCGTTGTAAGTTGTTTTGAATTATCTGATTTTTTAGATTTAGTTCCATCATGTTATTATAAAATTAGGAAAGTCTGTTAATTCCTTTTGTATTTAAGAACGTTGAGATGAATAGAGTAGATTGAATTTCCAGCAAACAAAACCTCATAAGTTTGTTTCTCACTGCAAGCAGAAACAATCCAATTTCCTTCACTCACATTCTCCATTCTGATCGGGACCTATCATTGGTATCAAAGCCTCGCCACCATGACCACCAACAAGGAACGAATAGAAAATTTGGAGCACATTGTCAGCAACATATAGGACCACCTACCGCCGCACCAAACACAAATCGTGGGAGGAAATGCAGCGCTGACGAGCCCAAGAGCTCTGTTTCAACTGCGACGGGAGGTTTACGGCCGACCATCGATGCCGCAAACCTCAGTTGCTCCTACTTGACGGAACGGCAGAAAATGAAGAAGCAGAAGGGGCGGTCGAAGAGCTGGAGATTTCCTTACACGCACTCACTGGGTGGTCGTCGTCCCGCACCATGCGTGTCCTTGTCACCGTTCACAAGCAACAGCTGGCGGCCTTGATTGATAGTGGGCCGACCCATAATTTCAGCAGTGACAAAGTTGTGGATCGGCTTCAGCTTCCAGTGGTGCCAACTACTCCTTTCCTGGTCAAAGTAGCCAACGGCCAACCGCTCAGTTGCCACGGAAGGTTCGAAAAGGTTGATATCAACATCCAAGGTATGGTCTTCAAACTGAATCTCTACTCATTACCATTGATTGGGCTTGATTTAGTTCTAGGGATTCACTGGCTTGAACAATTGGGATCTGTTATGTGCAACTGGAAAAAAATTACTATGGAATTTATTTGGGATGGCAAGCCGAGTCTGTTACAAGGGTTGAATGGCCGACCTATGCAGAGAGCCTCTGAAAAAGAGATGAGGCAGCAAAATGCACTCTTTGCTGTTTGTATGCAAACCCCCAGCACAGCCAGCTCGGCCACGGCCAAGGCAGACCTCCAAGAAGTTCTTGATCCTTTTGAAAATATTTTCAGAGAGCCTGATTCTCTCTTACCAGCCAGAGAGATTGATCACAGAATCATTTTAAAGGAAGGAACAGAACCCATCTGTTAGTCCATACAGATATGCTCACTTTTAGAAGGCAGAAATTGAGAGACAAGTCCAAGACATGTTGAGATTGGATATCGTCAAACCGAGTATCAACCTCTTTTCATTACCTGTCCTTTTGGTTAAGAAGAAGGATGAAATATGGAGGTTTTGTACTGACTATAAGGCATTGAACTCGGTCACCATTAAGGACCGTTTTCCTATTCTCACAATTGAAGATATGATTGATGAGTTATATGACGCCACTTTCTTCACCAAACTCGACCTAACATCCGGATACCATCAAATCAGAATGCACCCTTCAGATACTCAGAAGACAGCATTTAGGACTCACAATGGGCATTACAAATATCTCGTCATGCCCTTTGGCCTGTGCAATGCACCATCTACATTCCAAGTAGTGATGAACTTTATCTTCAGACCATACTTGAGAAAGTTTGTATTGGTATTCTTCGACGACATCTTGATTTACAGCCCTAGTTGGACTTCTCACTTGGAACACTTGTGATAAACTTTTGAGATATTGAAAACCCATTGGTTCTTTGTCAAAAGGAAGAGATGTGTATTTGGCCAGCAGGAATTGGAGTACTTAGGACACATCATTACCTCATTAGGGGTCAAGGTCGATCAGGGAAAGGTACAAGCTATGCTGAAGTGGCCCCGACCACAAACTATTACTGAATTGAGAGGTTTTCTTGGGTTAATCAGCTACTACAGGAAATTTGTCCGGAATTATGGGGTGTTGGCCCAACCTCTCACGCAACTCTTGAAAAAAGGGAAGTTCCAATGGGACGACAAGGCCAAAGTTGCCTTCGAAGGATTGAAGCAAGGTATGACGACAACACCCACTCTAGCCTTACCCAATTTCAGTGAGCCATTTACCATAGAGACAGACGCATCAGGAAACGGTATTGGGGTTTTCCTCACTCAACAAGGGCAACCAATAGCATACATGAGTAGGGCACTAGGGGTTGCCAAGCAAGCATGGTCAACATACGCAAAGGAAATGCTAGCAATCGTAGTGGCAATTCAAACTTGGAGACCATACCTGTTGGGCCACAAGTTCTTGGTTCAAACGGATCACCGAATTCTCAAACACCTCTTAAGCCAACGCATCGCAATGCTGAGACAACAAAAATGGATATCCAAACTCTTTGAATATGATTATGAGATTGTTTACAAACTAGGGAAAGAAAATAAGGTCGCAGATGCACTTTCTAGACAGGATGACGGACCTTTTTTAGATGCCTTGTTCGTTTATGAGCACCACCTCTGGGAAGATATTAGAAAGGAAACAACAGAACACCCGTATATGCAACAGATAAGTACCACGGTTCATGATCAACTAGGGGGGCCCTATCAATGGAAAAATGGACTACTTCATTACAAACATGGGGTCATGATTCCACTAGGTTCCAAGATTATTCCCCAACTGCTCCATGTATACCACGACTCTCAGTTGGGGGGATATTAAGAAGTTTTGCGAACTTAAAAACGGCTGACACAACAATTTTTATTGGCCTATAATGAAGCAGGTAGTCCAATGCTATGTGGCAGCATGTGAAATTTGTCAAAGAGCTAAAACTGAGGCTCTCTCACCAGGTGGACTCCTACAGTCATGGCCTATTCCCTGCCAAGAATGAGATGACATCACTATGGATTTCATAGAAGGCCTACCAAGTAATGGTAACGATACTATACTGGTGGTGGTTGATCGTAAGCAAAACTGCTCACTTCTTAGTCTTATCCCATCCTTATGCTGCCAAGACAGTAGCCGAGAAATTCTTAGAGGGTGTGGTAAAATTGCATGGTATGCTAAAGACAATAGTCAGTGACAGAGACCCTATTTTTATCAGTAAGTTTTGGAATGAGTTCTTCAACAGGTCTGAGACGCAATTAAAAATGAGTTCCACCTATCATCCAGACATAGACAGCCAGTCTGAAGTGGTCAACCGGTGTGTAGAACAGTACTTCAAGTGCCTAGCTCATCAACGACCCCGAAAACGGCATTCTTTTCTTTCATGAGCAGAATTTTGGTACAATACCACCTATTACTCCTCTATTGGGATGACACCTTTCCAAGCCCTATATGGGCGATCCCCACCTATCATTCCATTCTACAAGAAAGGTATGACACTGGTTCATAAAGTTGACCACTAATTGATAGAAAGAAATGACTTCCTACAACAACTCAAGGCTAATCTCCATGTCGCAAACAATCCCATGCAACAAACAACTAATAAGAACCGAAGATATATTGAGTTTCAAGAAGGAGATTGGGTCTTTCTAAGATTTCAGCTGTACCGCCAACAGTCTGTTTTTAAGAGGGCAATGTAAAAATTGATCCGTCGATTCTATGGACCATACCAAATCGACCAACACATCAGTGCTGTGGCCTACAAACTCAAGCTGCCAGAAGGATCCCGGATCCACCTGGTATCCCACATATCACTGCTTAAGCAGAAACTAGGTGATTCAACCTTCCCCACAAAAGAGCTGCCAACCACAACAGAGGAGGGCAACGTCATTCTCCAACTAAAAGAGATCCAGGATACACGTTGGGTAACAAAGGGAGCCAAGTTAGTAGAAGAAAGCCTGGTTCAATGGAAAGGACTACCTGTTGAAGACGCCACTTGGGAATCCATAAAAGAGTTGCTGTAATAATTCAGCTCGTTGAACCTTGAGGACAAGGTTCTTAAAAAAGGGGGGAGTGATGATAAGCCTCGAAGGTCAGCAAGAGTGCCACGTAAGAACCCAAAATTTATGGATTAAGTGGGACCAGAAGCAGGCGTAAGAAAGAATCAAGACAGAAGCAGTCAACAGAGAAGAATTTGCTCTTTGGATTTCCAGTCGTGAATTTGTTATTCAGTTAAGATTTTTAGTTGTTGTAAGTTGTTTTAAATTATCTGATGTTATTGTAAAAGTAGAAAAGTATGTTAATTCCTTTTATATTTAAGAACATTGAGATGAATAAAAAAGCATATTGAATTTCCAGCAAACATCAGTTTGTTTCTCCAATTTCCTTCACTCACATTCTCCACTCTGATCAAGACCTATCAGATGGGGTTGTCTTACCAGACTTGAGGACCTAACCCAATATGTGACAAAACGGGGATGACTTTTGGCTAGCAGTGGAAGTCCTAAGAAGATCTGGTAATGCTGGTTTTCCGCAAAATCTATTTCAGTAGATTGTATGATGTAGATGGCTTGAGGCAGAGCACTCAATGGCTAGGGTGGCCTCATTTTGCCTTACGAACCCTATGGAAACTCCGAATACAGGCCTAGATCGCTTGTGCAGACAGATTTTTGTCCCTAAGCTGCTTGTGTGTTTGACATTTTTTGTTTGCAGTGGATGACTTCTCTCTTTCAAGCTAATTAATGGCATGCCATTCAGCATGTGTTTTTTTAACTGATTTGGAACTTTGCATTAATACGTGAGCATTAGGGAGATCTAAAGGTGGAGGAAGTAATCAATATGAACATAATTGATTTGGTGTTCAATGACCCCAAATGATCAAAGGGTTTCAATCGTGATATACTGAATTTATTTCGCTTCAACTTTTCATGGTTAAATTTCTTTAATGAACCAAATGCTTTGTTTAACTAGTGAACTGAAATACCATTCTTACAATAATTCACAACCCAGTAATACAACAAACACAAATACAAAAACTCCCAACTGACAATACTCTAAATGAACAGCAAAACATGTATATATATATATATATATATATATATATATATCATTATTGATAACATAAAATATAGATAAAACCTCGAAACATTTATTTGATTAATTTTTCCTTGAATTCTTTCATGGTTATTTTCTGTTCGGATTTGGGATGGGTTCAAACTTATATGTTACAGAAATGAATAAAATTCGAATTTGATGAAACCCAGTCGTAACCCACCCCAGTAACTCTAGATATGAAGGTTGGAACGGGAACCAAAAACGGCGGTAGAGAAATAGGAAACAAAATTACCCCTCTTTTCTTCCATAACCCACCCAGTAACTCTAGATATAAAGATTTGAATATGAAAATACTGGTGGCATGTAATGCAAGCCAAACGAAAGCCTTCATTATTTAACCTTCCTCAACTACCAGCAATAAATAGCAGAACATTTAAGAGTCCCACTCCCTCCATGGAAAGCAGCATCACATGACATGGAAATACACAGCATTAAATTCAACTTAGTAATACGATATATAACACTTATCTTTTTCTTTTTTTTTTTTTTAATTTTTAAAATTAAGCAAGGATTTCCTCCAAAGGTTTGGCCTCCAATTTAGTTTTCTCTGTCTCCTGCAATTGCTTCTCTTTCGCTTGCTTCTTCAGCCTTGCTAGCTCAAGGTCCTTGCTCATTTTCCTCCTGTACATCTCTGCAAATGTTATCGCCTCCTCCATCACCGCCTTCTCCCCTTTCCGGATCTTCAAAGGGTAGACGGTGGCCTCCGGTGCTGGATTTTGGAATGTCGCTATTGACAGTCTGCTCTTGTTTGAGTTCACAACTGCTTGATGGTCCGCATTCTTGAACCTCCCATTGCTTAAAAACTGCTCATTATTTTTCATTTGATGTTATATAAACTATGAAAAAATTAATTGAATTTGTTATAATACTTTCTTTGCTTTTTTAACATTAAAAATATGTTTATTATGTCAAAATTTTAACAAAATTAATTACTACAGAATATTTTTTTTAATCTAAAAACTTAATGTATTTGTCAAGACTTAATCTAATTTATTATCTCAATTTTGATGTATATATATTAGTGAATTAAATATTTAATTTTTTAAATTAAATATTATAAATTGACCAATATAGACCTAACAATGAATAAATAATTTGGTAGAATGCATGGTGCGTAAACTGACAACAGAAAAGAGAACTAGTTTGGTAGAATACTTGGTGGATGTTTTTTTTTTTTCTTTTTCTTTTTTTTTTAAAATTTTTTTTAACAAAAATTAATATATTTCGTTAAATAAAAATTAAATTCAAGATACAACGCAGAAGAAAGAAAAGGAAGTAGAGAAAGGATAGACTCACGTGACCGTGATCACCGAGATTGACAACAAAGGCACCTTCAACAGGTTTAACGGTGATCCATGTCTCGCCCTTATCTCTGGTGGCCTGGAGGCCACCGACCTGATCCTGCAGCAACAACGTGATGGTTCCCGGGTCCGTGTGGCGTTTGAGTCCGAGAGTTAGGTCGGGTTGTGGGCATTTCGGGTAGAAATTCACAACGACTTTCTGGTCCATGTCAATGCAGGCCTTGGTCAACGCCTCCTTATCCAAACCCATCGCCTCTGATAAAACCTCCAGCAGTTTGCATGCTAATCCCATCAGTTTTTCGCTGTACTCCTTCGTCACTTTAATCCAACCCTCTGGCTTGTCCGGCCACCTCGAGTAGTCTCTGTTCTTTATTGGGTACGAGAAGTATGTCACAATTTCGCGCCAATCTTGCACTGCTTCACCCTGCAATTTATATTTACATGTATATGAAATCATTTTCAGTTTACAATATGTTTCTCTTCTTGAGAAAAACACAGAAGATTAATCATGGAGGATGAAGAAGAAAACCCAGAAGGAAATAATCAGAAGCCATTAATAAAATCAGGCAGTTAAATATGTATTATATACATTTATACCATTATACGGAAAACTTCTGGGGTTTCTCTTGTCGGCCA